GGTGAGACGTGGGAAGAGCTAAGGATACCGAGCTGAGGAACCATCCCCACGATTTACCGGAAAAATCTGCACGGCATCGAAACGTGCGTCAAAGCCACCCAAACGTCTAACCTGCCAGCAGCTACGCCTTTCGACGGAGAACATTGCTCCAGGCTCGGCGGGAGGTTTTGGCAAAATGACACGAAGAGCTGAAGCCTCTCCACCTCTGTCCGTCCGTACACACTCTACTATACATTGAACTAGAGATGGCCCGCGACGCGCTTCGGAAGCTGTGCAAAGGGAATCGGAATGCCATCCAGTCATAACAAACGAGGATTCTTTGTCGAAGAACCGTTTTCTAAACTTTATAAAGACTGCACACAGATAGTGTCGATTATGCCAACTCTATTCGTCGTACCAATGAACCATTTGCTGTACAATAAACGATACCCTATTGGTTGTACAATAAGACGATTTACTTCTATGTGGCTCTTTTTGAGAAATCACAATCTCTCTCTCTCTCTCTCTATCTGTCTATTAATATCTAATCCAGCCATGCTATGTCGTCAAATACTCAGTATTACTATCTACAGCTGACAGGTCCAATAGCGGACCAGTCGCGGGTGTCGTCCGAGTTTCGCCTACGCAATCCTCCGGGTAAACAGCTAAACATCCGCGCATCAATACCGCACAATCTTTGACGAACAGTGATCCTCTCGCGACCGTCCCCTCTGCTCTCTCTCATGCTCTCTCCCGTTCGCAGTTACACGCGAATGTTGCGCAACGGGAAATGATAATTTGTCCTCTCTCGTCCTCATACTCATCTCCCTCTCTTGGTCACATCCCACTCATCTCTCAGGGTGGCCTCTCCACCCAACATCCGTCACACACACATCGCATCCACACAATCATCCTCACTCTCACCATCACTCTCTCTCGTCTCCTATCTCTCTCCTCTATATATGATTATATATATCAATATATATACATCATTATTAACATACACTAGTAGACCACACACTACAACACATACCATTTTACACATGACCAGAGACGCAGTAAGAGAAGAGAGCAGACAACCGTAGACTCGTCGACGTGGATCTTTCAGATGCACGCAAGAACAACCCACGGGACGACACACACAGAGGGGAGAGAGGACAGAGAGGAGAGAGGAGGAGACGAGAGAGAGAGATCGACGCAGAGAGAGGCGAGAGAAGAGAGCGAGAGAGAGAAGCGAAGAGAGCGACAGCAAACGGACGAAGAAGAGAGAGAGTAGAGAGCATGACCACTTATCACACAGGGACACAGGAGGACACACACATACACACACGACCAACAGAAGAGAGAGAGAACGAAAAGCACAAAAGAGAGAGCTGTTAGCACCATTACCAGACACACAGGACAGGGACAGACACACACACCACACACACACAGACACGCGGCACCCCCCCCCCACCACACGACACACAAACCTCTTCGGCTCTCTCTGGGACACACACACAGGGACGGGGCACACCACAGGGACACACAGAACTTCCACACACACAACCACACATACACACACAAACACACATCACACACACACGGTTGCACTTCAACCACTGCCCACGGCACCACATCACGCACCACGCAGCACGCGACACACAACGTGCACACACACACACGCACGCACGGGCACGCACGCACACACGCACCGCACGGGCACCTACGGACGCAACGCAACCCGACACACACACCACGGCAAATGGAGCCAGCAGACGTCCCGTTGCGGCAAGGATTGTACTGAATGAGATAAGCATAGCTTTGGAATGGTAAATGCATTGTCGAGATCCGTCAGATGAATAACAAAACTTGATACATACGTATACTCAGCGAGAGGCCAGCGAGTGGGGAAATTTTGAATTATAAACAGAAGTTTACTCACCTTGTTACGCGTCCTAACCTCAAGGGTACGTAGGTAACTGTTTAGCAGCTCATACCTCTCAGACTGGGTCTATGTTGCTTCTGCTGGAACTGGTTGGTGACTGGGTGGCTTAGTTTAGTATTCGGTTTGGTTTTCCCAAATAGACAGCAGCCTGGTGAGGGGGCAGAAAAATTAATTACCATCCTCCTGTTTGTGGTGTTTTTAGTATTCTTCGGTTTCACTATAATACCACGCAATAGATGCCGATGGATGAGAAATTTTAGTCATCATTTTTCTGTGTGTGGCAGCACTCCGTGCAGTGATGCTGAATTGCATGTGAAGACTTGACGCGAAATAACGGGTTTTTCAGCGGATTTTTCGGTGAGTTTCACGGTTTGACCAGGTTTTTTCAATCTAGAACACTCCCCCGGGTAAACAGATGGCCCCTGTTGACTAAATTGCATCCCAAGATCGCTTGGGCGGTTGGCCGCCTAAGGGAAGATACCATATCATACATAGAATAGATACGATACGATACGAACTCCAGTAATATATATTAGATCAGCGAGCTAATAAATCGACCAAATAATTTTCATTATTAGCTCCTGATTATATCTTTATATATGGAGATTTTGCAATTATTACACTAAAATAGAGCGACCTGAGGTGAAATTCTTGCAAATTAAAAAAAATAATTTTTTTGGCTTGGGGCCGGGGGGGGGTCGTTCGAACCCCCCGAACCCCCCCTGGCTACGGGCCTGTATAAAGATATAATCAGGAGCTAATAATGACAAATTATTTGTCATTATTAGCTCCTGTATATATCCGTATCGACGTTCGATACACTACGATACACATTAGATATCGCTGTAGACGGGTCCGGGCTCAATAGTTCTACTCGCGTTACGCAGACGTACGTGTACCGCGAGTGGAACTGTCGAGCGCGGACCAGTCTAATATCGCCGCAGCAGTACCGATACAATATGGTGGATGAGGGTTGTGTAGCTGTTGCAAATGTTACGTTTAATATTTCCCGTGTTTATAAAGTAACTAAACATCATCAAATTAACTGTTAGAAATTGCCATAAATATGGCTGGATCAGAGAAGTCTGCTATTTCTTACATTCCATTACAGGTAATGAACTTATCACAAGCAAAGACATGTGAATGACAAAATCGTTGGCACGTCTCTATATATAAATTATAATTTATAACTAGCTCATAGTACTAGTACTCAGTTAGTAGTACTATAGCCCGCGGATCGCTGCCGCAGGGCTATAGTACATTCTGCCATAGATGTAATCTATCCAAATGCTCCACCTGGTCTGACCAAAGATTTATCCCCAAAACGCAAAATGATCAGGCTTTTTAACACTTATCTATCAACATGGACTCACACTAATAAAACTTAAATATCGCTACAGACTACAGTTCGACCTCGTTTATCCGGCCACCAGTTATCCGGAAACCTCTAAGGCTCTATTAACCGGCCGCGATCTCGCAGTGTATGTTCTCTGTTTTTTCATTCATTTCCACCTAAAAATCTCGCTCAAAACTCGCGCAATGTACCAATGATGCTCGCACGATGTACACATTGATTATCGTGACGTAAGAGCGCACAGCTATCACATGCACAAAACAAACACTTACCATAAGAGCAAACGCCAATGTACATGTACATGTATAAATATACGGCTATCACATGCACAAATACATTATCACATGCATAAACCCTACTGAACTGCATAGAAATGCTGTATTTGAGCATAAATCGCATATCCGGCCAAATCGCATATCCGGATGGGTGCCGGTCCCGACGTGGCCGGATAAACGAGGTCGAACTGTATATATAATTACCAAGCAATTTACTATTTTAGCACCCCAGATTAGTTTTAATACTAATACTAATAGCGCATGTCATACGTTAGCGAAAATGAATTGTGGGCAGCTCTTGTATCCTTGAACCGGTCCTGGGTCCCAAACTAGGATTAGGAATTGAGCAGCCGGGATTACACTATCCATTATAGATATACAGTAAATAATACTAATATAACCCAACACAAGAGTAGTCATGTCTCTCCCTACTCTTGTGCTTGGTTAAATTATAGTATCTATATCCGGAACAGCTACCATTACTCTGACCCTAGAGAGTAGAGGCTAGTAGGGTGCACCGGAACTTGGATCCGGTCGGAACTATCCGGCCGGATCTCTAATTTTTCAGAGTTCCGGTTCCGGCCGGAACCGGAACTTTTTCCTAATTTCATTTCTGCTACAAGCGCCATCAAAATCAAAAGATTAGTCACTGAATGTAGTTGAGAGTCAATAGAGTAAACTTGCTGACAATATAGTGTTAACAACTTCACACTTTTCTGCCCAAAAAACGCTTGCCACTTGAACATTGGCTAACTAACTGAACTGAACCTAACTGATGTTAGGTGATTCATAAGATTTTCTTTCAAAATCAAATACTCTTAGAGCCACAGGAATCGCATCTGTCCGTTAGTTGAAAATAATAGACTAAAACCAGGGATACTGCAACATGCAGGTTTTGCCACAGAATTCGCTCGTGAATGAGATGCCAGAATTATGCAAATTATGCACTGTAAGCAGCTAATTCATACCCCTAACATTAACAACCATCCTGTAATTAGAACTTTGAGCATTGTCCTACTCGCCTAAGTGATGTGCCTGCTAATGATATTTCGTTCAGGCCGAGTGAGTTTGCGCAATACTGGGCCAAAACTGTCAAGTTTATTCCCAGCTAAAGTTCCGGTTCCGGCCAGGTAGTTCAGGCCGGAACTTTTTTCAAGTTCTGGCCGGAACTTAAAAAGTTGGATCCAGTGCACCCCTCACTAGTACCCCTCCACGTTTTCATTCGGACGTGATATGTCAGGGTAGGTATCTTCATAAAGGCAAAGCTCCCTTTCAAGTCTAAATTTGCGATACCCCTCAAGATGATGACGTGGAGTGCAACACCAGCTGGTGTCATTGAATTTCCAGGTTTTAGGTAGGCGGTGCATTCTCACTCTACCCTGACAGATCAGTGACCATAGGAAAAAGCTACGGGGTACTAGGGTCTGAGCAAATACGTTCTAAGCTACCATCAGTAAACTCCATAAGCCACATCTTGAGCCCTTCCCTACACAGTCTTTTACTCTATAACAGGGCTGTACAGGAATGTGTGAGTGCATCCTGGCAGGAATCTTTGCAGCATGCCTAGTGCCTTCTCATTAGTGCTGCTGTAATTTCAATTTTATTATGTCTATGAATGCATGTCGTGTGATTTTATAACTGGTCAAATTTGGCCAAATTATAGTAGTTTTAGGGGTCGTTCACAATTATCAACATTTTCACAAGTGTACAAAGAGTACACTTTTTTGAGACCCCCCTCCCCCCTAAAAGTGTACGAAGAAAAATGTTGATTTTTTTTCACACTTCTACATAGAGATAGATGTATATGAATTACATGCAAACCCTGGAACAATTGATCCAGGTCACCAGCGCGGCTAGAACTACTGCCCGCCATCGTTCCGGTTGTTTACACTGCCCTCGGCTGCTAGCTATCTAGATCGGTTCGTTCGTTCAGCGGGCCCGTGCGGGGCGCGGGCCGGCCAGGGCTCGGCGTGAGGATGAGCGCGATGCCGGTTGGGGCGCGCGGCGCTGGAAATGGATCGACATTTTTTGGGAATGCTGAAAGCGTGCGGCGGGCATTGACCCCCTCTCCCCCAGCGTACGATTTGTACGCTTGTGAAAATGTTGATAATTGTGAACGACCCCTTAGTGTTGTGGTATAAATTTTTGTTATGAACGATGAGAGTGACCTGTTATTGATTGTGACCTATGACTGGGAATGTTACCCATGGCCATGTCTGTTACATGTGGGTGTTACCATTAGACGTGGAACAATATATAGGCATATGAATTCATTATACCCCCGCCAACGAAGTTAGGGGGGGGGGTATTCTGGAAACGCTTGGTCTGTCTGTCCATCTGTCCGCCACCAGATTTGTCCGGACATCTCCTTGAAAAGTACTGGACTGATTTCAACCGTATTTGGTACACATCACCAGTACCCAATGTAGTTTTTTTTGTCCGACATTTTCTGAAAGGTTTATGGCCGTTTTCCGTAAATAAACCCATTTGGTTATATATTACATGCCAACGCCATCTAGTGGATGATTTCTAAAGCTAGGTTTACACTGACGGTTTTATGCAGTCAAGTTGGCGTTTTTCTTTTTTCTACCAACCTCTATGTATGTTCAAAGCTCTTACGTTATCGACCGCGAGGCGGCAAACGTTTCAACATTTGGCCCGAAGCGTGCGCGCGGGTCGACGCGGATACGCATTTTTGCATGTATTACATGCCCAGCGTGGCGCCTAAAGCAAAAACGTGCTCTCCCCCTAGGGTGAAGGGACACACCCCTGATTGCTGTTCTCTGTTTTGCCACTTGGCTAAAAAAGCTTGCTCCGAGTCGGTGAATTAGAACATGTTCTAATTTCCCGACTCGCTGCTATCGATCGGTTGGACGCACGACTTTTGTGTTTACACTCACGATTTCAGTTGCCAAATTGCCAAGTTCGTACAAATTCTACAATACACATACAGGCACCATAACATCTCGAAGCCGGGGGGGTATTATTAGTCCCTCTCTGGTACAATCATTCTAGTATTTACCTTGTGTTAAATCCAAGAAATTAACTTACTAACGATAGTAAGTTAATTTCTTGGATTTAACACAAGATAAATATTAATTCACAGTTTTTAACGAAATCCAATTAACTTATTTCATTCAATATATAGGCGTGATCATAATCACACTATGTTGCTACATCACACATTATTTGTATCCTGCTGTTTTCTCATATATCAATACATCCACACAGGGCTCGAATTAACCGACGGCACCGATGGCAATTGCCGTCGGTGCCCCTATCAATTGCCGTACTGACCCTGAAAATCCAACCCGACCGACGGCAGTCACCTGCCTTGCCCTTTTGTGTAATTGCCGTCGGTGCCCTTTAATCTGCTGCCCTAGTTTCGTTTTTAGTCGAATCAACATAACACGTGCGCGTGCGTGCTGTAGTTGCAATGATGAGCTTAAAACCGATAGTCGCAGGAGGGAATAATAACAGCATCGGATAATTATTCACTCCTGATAGCGGGCATATAAAATTTATTGTTACTGTACTTCTATTAGCAGAGAGGGGTACAAGGGTCGGTGTTACGGTGTAAGCTTACATGGGGGCATATTGTTTTGTACATTAAAAGCAAGACGATGTTGATGTACTAATTTGTTATGAGTTTTCCTTTATTTTACAAAAGTGCCTTGGTGCCCTTCTCAAATTTTGAGAGTTGCCTTGGTGCCTTTTAAAATTGCCTCTGTGCCCTTCCATTTTAGAGAAAATTCAAGGTGATTTCTCACGTGCCCTAAAAAAATTGCCTTGCCCTTCTCGTCGCTTAATTCGAGCCCTGCATCCACAATATGAAAGGGGGATTTAGGGTTATAAACCAAGGAACTTGTATAAAATCATATATGTATTTTAATTCCTAGCCAGTCATACAGCCATACATATTTTTTTTTTATATCAACATACAACATGAAGAACATACTTTTAAACAGAATTTATTTTAATAGTGACAATAGAAAGATGTACGTTGAGGTTAATAATCAATTAATACTTTAATAGTCATTTATATGATATCATGATTCATAACATCTGCATCACATGGTGATACACATCGTGATTAACGAGTGACAATCAGTGTAACAAATGACTGAGTCTCACCCATGAGTAATTGAATTTGACCAATCACTGAGTGTCACGAATGAATTAGTGTGACTCTGTGGTGGTGAACCAAACCTAATGCGAATGTGAAAAACGTGAACGTGGATGTGCGTAAGTGAATGTGCGTAAGTGAATGTGTGTAAGTGAATGTGCGTAAGTGAATGTGCGTAAGTGAATGTGCTTGCTACCTGTGACTGAGTGTCACCTCTGACTGTGAGTGTGATGCCTAAAAAGAGTGTTACCAGTCATTCTGAGTTTGACTCCTGATTGTGTTACCCATAAGTGTCTACCTCTTGGAATAATGTTTTGGTCAGTCTGCCTTTTGAGTTATCAGAACACACCCTGCTATGTAATCCAGATAAACGAGGTTTCACTGTATGTTAAAATGAAAGAAGGGATTTCAGAAATTCCCCTGATTCCAGCAAGGGAAGTCAATCGGTAATTTTGTGCTTAATGCTCACGTACTGTGGTATTGTTCTGACATTTACATAAATAACTAGAGCACTCGGAGAGCACAGACCTCCGCCAAGGCAGCTGAATTCTGTCACTGTGAGAAATTTAATTAATTAATTAATTAATTAATTAAATAATTGGATCCGGATGACAACCAAAATGTAATCAATTCTAAGTTACCCGATTTCTGACGTATCTTGAAAATTTTATTAATTAATTAATTGGATCCGGATCACCACCAAAATCTCATCAATTCTAAGTTAGCCTATTTCTGACCTATCCTGAAAATTTAGAAAATTTAGAGAATTAGGCTGTACACAAACAAACCCACAAACCCACAAACCCACAAACCCACAAACCCACAAACAAACAAACACACGCCGGTGAAAACATAACCTCCTGCCAACCTCTTGGTGGAGGTAATGAAACCTGCATATCAATTTTACTGTAGAATTCGGTCTCAATATACGATATATACGAGTAATGACTTTTTCTTTTGCAGCGACGTGTCAGGCACCTGAATATGATTGCAGTGAGAAACATCGCAGCTAGAAAGTTTATAGGGCAGAAGTTGAATCTGCTGCAGACATATTTCACACTTCATGCTAACAGCAAGTCACCAGGTCACTAATTTGAGTGGTTATGAACTTATCTAGTTATTCTTGTGAAAATTTACATTCAATTGCCTGAGAATATAAGTTATTCTTCTGTGCTTAAAAAAATGGGTGAATTCTTTTGATCTATTTATAATGTAACAATGAAAGTGCATAGTTCCTAAAAGCACATGTATCTTATTCGCATATCTATATGTTCTCATGAAGTTAATTGTTTGTATATTTACAGCTTTTTATACAAGCGAGAGAATTCAAGACACCCTGGTAGGTGGCAGTCTGGCAAAGCTGCACAAATTCTAATTGTAAAATTCTTTATTGTGTTCTGTGCTTCAGTTATCACTATGGTATCGAAATTGCCTAATGTAATACTAGTAATAGTTATGCACAGATTATATAATAGACATTGATAACCTATATTATAATAAGGAGAATGTCGGAAATAGAATTAAGTAAAAATAACTTCACGAGAGAGAGAGAGAGAGAGAAAGTGCTATAGTATCCAAAAATTGTGGACATAAGTTATTGAATGGTTAAGCAATATCCACTAAAGGTTTTGATCTTTTTGCATTTTTTTTTGCAGAATCCCACATGGAAAAGCTTTGATTTCACCTGCTTTACGGAAGATGCCAACATTGCAAATTCATGTATCTTTCAAAGAGATTGTAATCAGTTGAGAGAAATGTAATTATCATACATAATATTTGCATATGCTGACTTTAATTCTACATCAGTCATTTCATGAGTATTCTGATCAACGTTGATGTAATCATGTGTCCGAGTATGAGTTAAACTTTGTATACGGTGGCGATACAACTGGCATTACTAGTCCTAAATGCAAAAGTTCTAATCAATTCACTGCGTGATCATCAAAATTGAAAGTTATTTTTCCCTTAATGAAGATCAGCTCTTACCGTTAGGGTGTGGGGTGGAGTGGAAGACGAGTTTATGCTGGTTATCGAGTGTACTGTTCAGTTACCGTCCCTGCATTATGCATGCAGTAAGGTGAGTGTTATATATATATTATATATATATATATATATATATATTAATTTGTTAGGCCAATTATTTCAGTGTGAAAACGTTTATAAATTAATGGTACAGAAACTTAATTGGAACAAAAATGTACAAGCATAGTGCTCGTTTAGCTGTGCACTTGGACTGTAAACCAGCAGAACCTGCTTTGTGAATGAAGATTTTAGCTGTTTACAAGAAAAGATGTGTATCATGACCATCAAGTAACTAGAAGTAGAATGATTGCTGTCTAGGAATTTTTTCGACTGTGCTGACTATTTCACTAAAATTCTCTAAGAATATTACCAAGCTATAGTTTCTTATTGTAGGAATGATCGTACTGCCATCTTTTCTGCAGGAAATCATGCAGAAGCATAAGAGGTCCAATGGTCAATGGTAGCTCCCAAATGTCACTGTATTGTTGATCTTCCTATCTAAAGAAATTAACCATTCAAGTTTCATTGTGCATCATATTTTCAGTTACACAAGGATGGTGCCAGATATGAGAAGAACACTATAATCTTTGGTATGTTTCGGGGATACTATACTGATTCAAAACAGACAAAGGTGAGCATCCTGAATTATGAAATCTGATTGAAGAGCAATCAGGAATTAATATAAATGATATTGTGTACTGTAAATGTGAATACAATGCTGCACTATATACCAGTATTATACAGGCAGTGGAATTTTCTCGGCCCATTATTATTTATAGCTACCAGAGAAGTATGTCTACTCCCAATTCACTCTACCTCGCCTACAAGTGAGTTCTCATGGAATTAGATAGACTGCAATCACATAAGCATGCCTTTCTTTTATTTTCTTCTTGTATTATTTTTATAGAAAGGTGTATCAGATAGAGAAGATACCGAGCTGCTGTCATTGGTGAATGATGTCAGCATTTCAAAGCACTCCTATGACCTAACGACAATGATGAGGTAACTTCTATAGGTGGCTGCTAAAGAAAGCTCACATTTGTGGCTACATACTCTGATTGTTAAGGGCATAGGTGAAGGAAATGCCGTAGCCCTTTTCTGTAAATGTTCCCCCTTCTTTCTGGTTCAGAATAAAATGTACGTGTAGAGTGACTGATCATGTTGTTGGAACTTTAGTGCATTGGAACAGAAACGAAATAGCATCTGAAATGCTGCCCAATGTTGTAATCTAAAAATTGACGAATGTTTAAAAATTGCTACTTGAAGCCATTGAGCGTTTGTGTTGTGAAGGATACGCACAGTGGAGCGAGCAATTGTGCAGACCCAGTGCTCCTCGCACAAAGTTCTTACTTCCATAGAAGACAGGCTTCGACTGTACGAGGAAAAGGAAGCAATGGTATGTGTTTAATAGGCGACTTTGTGACTAAATTCCAAGTGTCAACTTATGTAGTTTTTTTTAGCGGCTATAACACTGGAGGTAATCCACCCACACTACCTGTCGTACTGCCTGTGACACTGATATTGTAGTGTTCTTTCAGGTGCAAATCAAAACAAAAACAAAACGGGTTTGTTTTTGTTCACTCCCGGTGCTTTGTTGAGGGAATGTTGCTCTGTGATTCATGATAATTTTTCATAATATAAATCAAACTTATCCAGACGGTAAGAGTTGATCTTGAATATGTTGCAGGAAAGCGAGAGGGAAAAGGTGGCAATGCGTGTTAATCTTCTTGCAGAGGAGCTGAAGATAAGCGCATCCAATTTACACAGTGACCGGGAGAAGTTGTCTCGAAGGAAGTGTCAACTCAAGGAGAAGCGTAATATACTTTTCTCAACTGTTACATTTCAGGCTCTTCAGCTCACTTGGTTAGAGATAGCTGTAGCTTTTCTTAGAGCCATAGTCATATCATTAATTGTAACCAAATTGGAACGAGGAGCAGTTGCATGTTGTTATTTATCATTGCATTTTATAGATACACGTAGCCACACACGTCAAGTGCATGTATGCACTCACAAGCTTGAACTTATTCAATGATTTTTAATACTCGTATAAAATCATATAATAAGGTTTTCTTCGAAAGGTTAAGAAGTATACTTCAAAAGATATGATTTTGCTCCAATTTTTGTAAAGAAAGCTTGTCATAGTTTATACTTTATATGTTTTTTTATGATTTCTATTGTCAGGATAAATATTAAACCGATTGAATTTTTTGCAGGGATTACCTTAGCAGACAGATTCGAGCAGTTGTCAGAGAATGAAGCGGCACTCATGGAGATGAGAAAATGTTTCCGAGCTGCGAGGTCAGTGTTAAGTGCAATAATAGAAACAATAATTAATTGCAGTTTTATTTGTTCTTATATTAGGTTAGGAGTACATGGTGTTAACAGCGCTACATGATGTAGAGAGCAGTAAGCTTAGATAAACGTGCACTCCGTTATTACTCATGATATTTGAATATCACAATACAGAAAATTGATTACTCATGTGTGGTGTATAATATAGTATTATGTATATATTATTTCTGTAGTGCTGTATCACACTTGGGCACATTTTTTTAAAGAGAAACCTATGTCAAGATCTCGGCACAACTAATGGTGAGGAGGAGGCAGCTAATATCGGAAGTCTGTGAAATATATCCCATTTTACATGTGAGTATGATCAGAGTGCTAAATATGATAAAGAATAGATAATTGTATATCGTATACCATATCAAGAGTAGATAATAACAATTTTAAATCAAAATTCGAAATTTAAATTGTCTCTCAACCCTATCGGGGCATGAATGATTTGGAAACCGTCTGTTGCTAAATATTGGCGCCACTATAGCTTCAAAAGTTGTCTTAACACGTCTACACAATTGTGGTAAATTGTGGGAATTCAGCTCGTGCAAGATTACGATTTACAGCAATACGTTAGCAAATTTATGTAAACGAATATCAGAACCGCGAAGGTGAGTGATTATTGGTCATAATAAGCTGAGGAACGTATACACTTGCTTCTTTATTGGTGGCAAATTTTGATGAGAAAAATCGGTTAAAAATGCGGGAATCGGGTGTCTCACGCTTTGCTATTATCTACTCTTGACCATATGCAATAGAGCTTCGACCATGCAGTATGCATAGCAGTATACTCAAGTAATTCAATTTCTTAGGCTTTCTAGTCATGCTAGTAGTAATCAGCTACTTGTATAATGCCTTATCTTACTTGTAGACAAAAATGCAAATCATAGCAAACTTGCCTTTGTATCTGCAAAATTGGTGTCACATCTGCCAAAAAACTGATAAATGAAATCTACAGAAAATTTTCTCATTACATACACATACATAATAACTTGGGCTGATTTCATCGTTTATAATAGAATAATAATGATAAACGTTTATTATCATGAACTTATTTTTATTTAATGTACATCGGGTTCATAATAATATGCAATAAGAAGTATTTTTAGACTTAGAGGACTACAATTCACTAGTATTGGTGTTTGACATTATATAAAATATTACACAAGTCAATAGCATGAACATATATATATATCTATACAGTGGACCCCCGAAATACGAATTTAATTTGTTCTATAGGTTTGTTCGTATCTCGAATTTTTTTTATCTCGAACCCTATGTAGGACGTACAGCAATTTACGTACAGCAAGTGCAATCATGAGAGTGCAACCACATTCAATGAGTCACGTACTTAAACTGACTCACCGAAAGAGCACGTTTGTATGTTGAATTTTATTCGTTTGTCGAATACATTACGTTCAACAGGAGGTCCTTCATATCTTGAAAATTCGTATGTCGAGCCGTTCGTATCTCGGGGGTCCACTGTATATATATATATATATATACATATATATATATATATATATATTATTACACAGCAAATCACTATTTCCAAATGATATTTGCTTTAGTGTGGTGCTTCAATTTTAGATTCCAGGAACAAAAGATTACACGATATGTGGTGTTCGCTTGCCGAATTCGGAACACTTTGCAGGTATGAAATGTTGAGCTGAAAGGTAAAACTCCTCTGATATTTATCAAACAGTGTGTATGTTTTTATATATGTTATGTTATGTGTATTTATCAATCAGTGGTTTAGTCCTCTTTCATTGTTAGATCACAGAATTTTTCGATATATATAAATTTCTCCAGGCAACCTCAATTTAATTGAAATGGAATCAAATCTACTATTTTTACTGTGGAGTGAAGGCCTCAGATTTTGTCAATTGTATTCAGTTCTTACATCTAGTGTGCTGCTATTCAGTTAGGTTGTGAAAATCGTTTTCCTATCAATTCTCTTGTATATTTTCATATAACAAATAAGTTCTATGTACGTAACCTCATCTGCTCTGCATTTGTTAATAGCAAAACCTAACTGGAAATCGAAATGATTATTGACTTACAAAGTCAGCGCAGGTATATTCTAGAGCCAACTCATGCTACGTGCTCCGCTGTCTCCTGAGTAAAATTGGAACGTGGGGAGTGTTGAGGCGACGATCGGTGCATTACGTGACGCGCTTGCACGCTGCTTCTTGTAGGGGAGGATGAGATCATGATAGAGACGGCACTGGGCAATGTCGCACACATGGTGCTGATGCTCTCGAAGCTGCTCACTGTACCCCTGCGTTACGCCATCGCCTATCGCGGCTCCCACTCGATCATACGCGACCACGTCACACCGAAGCTATCCGAAAATGACAGGGAGTGAGTAGTGACTCGAGTTCATTAGCGCTTCAGTTTGTTATTAAAAAACATGAAATAAACAGTATATGTTATATCAGTCAGCATTGCAGGTGGGTGGTGGGGTGGGGGTTTCAGGTGGGCAAAAAATGAATTTCTTGCAATCGCAGATCAAAAACCAAATTTTTAATTACTGTCGCAACACAAGTGAAAATAAAGTTGGGATATCCCAGTCATATGGTAACTGGCTAGCCCCCGGCTATGGCAATGAAGCATTATTTCTGAGCTTGTCTCACATATGAAAAATGAAAAACATTAATATTTAGGGCCAAGATTGTTAATGATGGTTGGCCACAACTCGACATTATATGTTATTACCATGATACTTTATGTATACGGGGCTATCTCATGGATTTTATTATAGTATTTCTGCATAATTTTCATGTTCACTGTCTATCTGTTGTATTGTATGTTTTTATTTTTCGGATTTTTTAAATGGTAGAAATCGTTTTATTTTACTTTTGCTGTCGCTGTGTAAGTGAAAGGAATGCCGCTAATCTCTTTGTGCATGTGTGTGTGTGAATTTCCAGGTTTCCATTATACAGTAAGGGACAGGATAAGGTGGTATTTAACTATGGCGTATACCTTCTTAACAAGAACGTTGCTCAGGTAAATTCTGCTTTATTTGGTTATGGAAAGCTTACATTTCGTACAGCTAAGTAGTGTGCAATTATAGACATTCTGATGAGAGTTACAAGTCATATTGTCTCGGTTATTAATATTGTTAACTTAAAACATATGCTCTGTAAAATAAAACTCGTTTTAGCATTACGCATTACCATGTGGCTTTTACGTGAATGGTTTGCAGGAATGTTCATTTATATTTTCCTTGTAGCTGGGATTTTACCTTGGGATGCCAACACCAGACCTCAGACCAACCTTGTACAATCTGAAAAGCTTGCTGGAATTGACATTCGGAGTCGTTTTGTACGTGTTTAGTCACGCGCACTTCTTTTAATTGCATTTCAAGATTCTCCTTGGTGTATGTACTGTGGTTACCCTGAGCTACCAACTCATTCATGTGAATACGAAAGTATAGCCTAAACTTGTGGCTGCACTTTTGAACCCGAATATTTGTGGCTAACGTGAAATACAATTTTAGAATTAATGTGACTGTTTTTAGCTCGCATTGACATCGTCAAGATGAGCTATTGCCATGGGGTGTCGTCCATCGTACGTCCGTCCGTCCGTCCGTCCGTCCATCCGTCAACGTTTGGTTACGGTCAACGATAACTCAAGAACCGTTTGACCCGCATGTTTCAAATTGCATATAGTTGTTACTCCTATGGGAGAGGTTAGAACGTCCTATTTTGGAGCACGCCAGTCGACCTACATTTGAGCCACGCCCACTTTTTGGCAAAAATGGAAATGGCCATAAATCAGTTCAGGTTCAATGGATTTTGCTCATTTCTTGTATGTGAATGAATGAGGACTGGCCCCAAAACATATCAGACAGGTTTGTTTTTTGTTTTTTTAATTATGCAAATTAGGTAGATTTTGGCAATTTCACTATGCATTTCAGTGTCTGCCTACAGTCAACGATAACTCAAGAACCATTTGACCCACATGTTTCAAATTGCATGCAGTTGTTACTCCTATGGGAGAGGTTTGAACGTCCTATTTTGGAGCAGTCAGTCGACCTACTTTCGAGCCGTGTTCACTTTTTGGCAAAAATGTAAATGGCCATAAGTCAATTCAGGTTCAACGGATTTTGCTCATTTCTAGTATGTGAATGAATAAGAACTGGCCCCAAGACATATCACACTGGTTTTGATTTTTTTTTTTTAATTATGCAAATTAGGTAGATTTTGGCAATTTCACAATGCATTTCAGTGTCTGCCTACAGTCAACGATAACTCAAGAACCGTTTGACCCACATGTTTCAAATTGAATACAGTTGTTACTCTTATGGGAGAGGTTTCAACTTCCTATTTTGGAGCATGCCAGTTTACCAACTTTCGAGCCACGCCCACTTTTTGGCAAAAATGAAAATGGCCATCTAAATTCATTCGATTTTGTTAGATTTTAGTATGTGAATGTGTAAGGCTAGCCCAAAACTGTTGTTACTCCTATGGGAGAGATGAAAATGACCTATTACGTTTATTTCTTCTAACTGGTCAACAACTCTACAATCATACCTATATACGTGTAATATTGTGTTTTAGATTCTTCGTTACAGTAATTTGACTGGAATATTTTATTGTTTTTATTTGCACGATATTCGAAAACCAAAATGGCGACCATTTAGGCGTAGCGCCATCTCTCGTCAAGATTTCAGACTCAGATCAATCATCAAAACTTATGCATATATTATTATCAAGTGTATATAATAATGGGAGTTCTCCCATATATACTCTTGCTTTATATATCCCCCCTCCCTCTTCTATCACACCCAAGGTGAGCTACAGTGTCATTGACACTTTCATTTGTGTGTAGATGCGCATGTAATTTTTGAGTAAGAAACAAATCGTGCACGCGGCAGCGTATTTATTCTGTCAGCTCAATTCCATACGACAGTATCTCAGTGTATGCGGCTGGTTGCCATGCAGGCCATGCATGCATGCCTCGTATTGCAATAATGAATCCCTGCGTCTTAATCTCATGCTTCAGCGAGGACACGGAGCAACACATGGCGCTGTGTGCCGAGGGGACAGCCGGTGCTCTGACAGTGCGCTACTCGAACCACCTGCCCGCCGCAGCGACGCGGGCGGACCATTCCGCACACGAGCTTCCGAGCCGCCTCTCGCCGAATTTCATCCGACCAGACGGCATGGTGCAGCACATCGCACAGGACCAGCTATTTCAGACGGTGGCCGACTACCGCCGAATGAACTCCTACGAATCGCTCGACCACATCTCGCATAATTCCTCTGACGGCAACGAAATCGCAGAGTCTTCGAGCACGACGGGTGGCGCCGCCAAGTTTGAGAAGTGTGACGATGAGGCCGGCAGCAGATCCGGGCAGCTTGCGAATAACTCTAACTGTGATGCATACCCAGCAAGTACTAGTAATAACATTTGCAAGGCAAATGCCAGTGAGCTTCTCTGATTTTAAATGTGCATTGTAGGGCTGATAGATACTGAGAGCAGTTGTGTTCAAATTATAGTATTAATTCTCAGATACACCAATTTGGGAAAAGTGAAATAAGTAACCTCAGCTCTATTATATTGCAATGCGTGCTTCAGTGGGGGAAAGGTTATTTTCTATGCATAACTGCAGCATTGTGTAGCTTGGTAGGTTTCTGCCTAACATATATCCCACTTATCATCACAATTTGTGATTTACCCACAATCAGGTTTTACTATCAATTTTGTGGTTATTAACATATAGCCTTTTCAACTGCTGTGGTGCAATAATCATAAAAACAGTTGCACTAAAAAAATATATCTGTATTGCAATCGTAACTGACAAGTGCAGAATTGTTCTGCGTAAAGTTAAAAAAAAATCACAATTCAAGTGCTGATGACTGACCACTTGGTAACTTGTCATTGATTTTCCAAAAGGACAGTTACCATCTATTAAAGTTTGGCCACAAATTCATTCACTCTATAAATGTATCTTACGATTGTGCCTTCCTATTTAACACATATTTAAACCGAAAGTGCTTCTGTGCATGTTTTATATTTTTAATTTACACAGACGAATGTCTGCTTGCCATTAGTAGGTATTTTCTATGGGTGTTTAATACTGTTTATTCACGACACAGAAACGTGCCATTTTGACATTGGGTCTTGTAATGCCAGAGTTGCGTTACACATTAACTCTCTCTCTTTCTCTCTCTCTCTCTCTCTCTCTCTCTCTCTCTCTCTCTCTCTCTCTCTCTCTCTCTCTCTCTCTC